GCGCGCTGCGCACACGCTCCGCGGGTCCGGGCCCGGGGCTTTCAGGTCCCGGGCGGCTCTCGGCGCCGAGAGCCGCCTCGGTGAGTGGGCGGCGGGCAAGGGCCCGAGAGCCGGGCGGCGCAGGCTCGCGCGCGTGTGCAGTTGCTTGTGACACGGATCGCGCCGCTGCTGCTCAGCAGACGGGTTCTTCCCATTGCGATGGAACGAGGTTGGATGAGATTTGCAACATTTGGCGTATAGCATCTGCAAATGCACTAGTTTAACCGCTGAAAAATGTCTGACCCAGTGGTATTGCCTTTGTTCGGAACCCGGTGCCGAACCGTGATAAGGCGCTCTGGGAAGGCAACCAACTCTGGCGCCGGCCAGCTAATGGGTGATTGCTCTCAAAGCATCAGCCGAGCTGGCTTTGGAATTGGCTTTATATAGGCTTTGCAAGCAAGAAGCTTGAAGGCGTGGTGAATTTCTGTTGAGCAGTGTTGGTCATCTCTCGTTGCTGGGCAGAAAGCCCTTGAAGTAAGTGAGCAACACTGCTGGTCGTCTCTCCTTGCTTTTGTGGCTGTTTGAGGGGGCCAGAGACTGAGGCGAGGCCTCTTACAGGGAGGGGGTGTCCTTCCAAGGGCTTAAGCGCCTCTTATCCCTAGGGTGGTAGATATTTCCGTGTGCCCAAACCTGGGCAGTGCCAACTAGCCAAATTTCCATAAATCTTGAGCTCTTAAGTCAGATCAGGTATACCATCCTTGACAGACATGTTTCTGCCTGGTTTAGTAAGTTCGTTCCCGATTTTCAGTCACCACACCCTGCATAGTAGTCATTAGTCTGACTGGTAGGACAGCACTCTAGGCTTCTAAGGGGGACGCCTGGTATGTTTGAGAAAATTTGAGGTGCCTCCGAGGTGAACCCGAAACTCCCAGGAGCCTCTTTTTCCATACATTACTAGGTTATACACTTGCAGTTCTTGGCCTGAGTAGTGCAGAAGAGGAGGTTGTATAGTACAGTTTAAATTGGGTTAGGCTGGGGATCAAGCAAAGTGGAATTTTGCAGAAGTAGGAGTTTTGCTGGTGTTATGTCTTGAGCTTAGGAGATTTTAGAGTCAGAAGTTTTAATTGGAACATTGGTGGTTACAAGCACAAGAACATCCCTTTTTGGGAGAGGTTGTGTGGTCTGGCACCATGATGCAGGAAGTGGAAGCCGGTTAAAATGGGGACCTGGGAGCTTAGGGTTCTTGTTACTGTAAACTGAGGCAGGACTGTTGTAACTCAAAAATCAAATGACAATGAGGCAAGTCCAAAAGTTAAAAGAAGAGCTTTATTTTAGCAGGTACCCTGCGCCGGTCTCTATGCAGAAATGCAAAAACAGGGAAGCGGAGGGGGAGGAAGAAGTGGCAGGGTCATTAGTTCATTGGGTGGATCTATTGGGTGGGGGTGTAAGGTCGGTAAGCACACAGAGTTCATCAAGATCAAGATAAGGCTTGGGGTACAGATGTCCGTCAAGATAAGGCTTGGGGTACAGATGTCCGTCAAGACAAGGCTTAGGTCATGGGGTGAGGGAATTGGGAGGGGTAGACGCATACAAAACAGGAGCGCGGCAAGGTTAGAAGGGCAACAAAATGGAGTCAGTTTTGTCAGGGTATGACAAGGACCAGGGCCGCCATGTCAGGTGAAGTTGAAGTAGTAAGTGAAGTGTGTTCGAGCCCCTGGGGCCCAGGGAGGGCCAGACCGGTGGGTGGGTGGGGAGGTTATGGGGGTGTTTGGATAGAGGAAGGGTAGGGCAATTTTTAGTCTGGGTCTGGGGAGTTGGGAGTGTTGGTGACAGCCGTACTTTGCAGGTACAACTCCATGGGGCAGTTTTGCTCATGTCTTTTTTTTTGCGGCACGAACTCAGGACTTTGCATTTATTCTGCTGAGCTGCCTCCGCAGCGCATTGCTCATGGCGTCTGGTGAGCTGCAGCTGCCTCTTGTTTCTGTCCCCATGCCTCTGCTCAGGACCGTTCTTCTGTGCGCAGGCAGGTCCGACATTGCTGACTTCCCTTCGCAGCATTAGGTATATTCATGCTACTGCTCTCTAAAGACCAGCACAATGCTTTTTTTTTTTTAAAGTACTAACTACAGTGAGTTCAAACCCAGGGCCTTGTGCGTGCTGAGCAAGTGCTCTACCACCAAGCTATGTCCTGAATCCCATTTATTCATTTTTTGGTTTCAATTGGTGCTGCTGTTTCCCTTCCTCAGGCAGTGTCACCAATCCCAGGCCCTTGGGCATGCAAGCGGACCGTTAACTAGGTCCTCCGCACTCTCCAGACAGTGGGAGACCCGGAGCGAGCCAAGTGTTGACTCTCGGAAGCTAGAGAGTTTCCTGCAGAAGATGCGGTCCACAGGCAAGCTGGGTCCCCAGAAGAGTGTGAGTGACATGCACCTGTTTGATCCCAATTTCTCTTATGTTTCCAGACTTCTTTTTAGGGTGCCACATTCTCCATCTGTATATTCATTAGGTGTCATTCCTTTGCTTTACTTTTTTTTTTAATGGTGAAAGAAGTATATATTTAGTCTTAGCGAGCGGGACTCAGTTTAGATCCCAGTTTTGTTGGTAACATCCAGGGCATCATGATCGGGAGCCAGTCCGACATATGCCTTCTTCTGTCCTGATTGGGGTGCTGACGTTGGCAACATCGACGTCATAGAGCTTCTTTACGGCTTGTTTGATCTGGCGCTTACTGGCTGTGACAGCCACAGTGAACACGAGGGTGGTGTTGTCCTCGATCCTTTCCATGGCTCACTCTGTGGTCGGGGGAACTTGATGATGGCATAGGGTCAAGCCTGTTTCTCCTGGGGGCGCTCTTCCGAGGGTATCTGGGCTGCCTGCGGAGCCGCGCGTCTTGGGGAGGGTGGGTGACTTCTGTATCTTCTTCTGTTTGTGGCTGTGGATGCCTTACAGCGGATCTCCTTGGTCTTTAAAGCTTTTGATCTGGCTTCAGCTGCGGGAGGGGCGGGGCTTCCTCCTGGCCTTCGGCGCCATCTTGGTTGGAAGGCTCTGCTTTCCCTTTTGGACTGCGCCTTTGTCTTCCTGATACAGGGGAATGAAACCCTCACCCTGGAAGGTACTGGGACAGGGTCGTGTTCTCTAAAGCCAAATAATGAATTTTAGGAACAAACGGAGGTTAAGACCATAATATTTTTGAGGAGAGAAAGCTTCTGTCCTAGAGCGAGGGACAGAAGGGGCCCACGCAGGTTGTCCCAGGAAGCTGTCTCTTCCAGGGATTTTTTTTTTGTTGTTGTTGTTGTTGTTACTGGGGATTGCTTGCCAGGCAGGTACTTAAGCTGCCGAGCTGTCTCCCCAGCCCTTCTCCAGGGAATTTTATAGAGTAAAATCATGCAGTGAGGCCGGTCTAGGGTGGAGAACACAGGAACACGCTTAAATGGGCATGAGGTGGGACAAAACTATGGTCAACCAATGAGATTACAAGCACCATGCTCAGGTAAAATTGATTGAATCCAGGCCCCGATGCAGAAGCCAGTCCCGTACAAAATATAGAACAGGAGTTTATCTGGTAGCCTGCTGGTAGCAGTTGCATTACAGACTTTTCCTGGCTTCCTCAAGGTGATGATCCATCCCGGATGCTTATCTTCAGGGAGGTGAGCTTTTGATCTTTGGTCTCTAGGTCTGGCCCGCAGCAGGAGCATCCATCTCTCTGAGTTGCAGTGTATCTTGTCTTCTGTGCTGTCTCCTTGAGGGCCTAACCTTGTCTGCCTATAGTATTTCTGTATAATTCAGCTGTCTGCAGCATTCCAGCGTACAGCAGTTTCTAATCAGATTCATGAGCTTCTGTGGCTAGGTGTCACATGCTAATGACCACATAATTAGGGGTTACTTTAGGTGGGTCAGGTCTACTGTGCTTGCATGGACAGTCATTGGCTCCCCTGTGGTTAGTTTGTGGTTGCTAACTAACCACAGAGAAAGGGACTCTGTGGGCCCTCTGGCTGTGGTCTGTGTCCTACCTCAGAACAGGACAGGGTCGTCTTAGAGGTCCTCACCCTTCTTCCTTGCTCGTGCTTGTCTGTACCCTACTGAGTCATGATGGCACTGCTAATACATTTTTGGAGCATAATTGAGATGACATGTTAGTGTTTTATTTCCCGTAACATACATGTACATGCTACTGAATTACACATTTTTATTTTTTTTTATTTTTGGTAGAACTGGGGATTGAACTCAGGCCCTTGTGCTTGCCAGGGAAGCGCTTATTCCACTGAACCATCTCCCCGGCTCCTGAATTACACATTTTTAAATGGTCAAAATGGTATAATTATATGGCAGATGTTGTATTTTTTTTAAATTAATTAATTTATTTATTTTGTGTGTGTGTGTGTGTGTGTGTGTGGCCAGCTCAGCCCACCAGGGGGCGGCCCTGGCTGGCATGTGGTCCTGGGGGATTGAACCGCGGTCCCTGTGCTTTGCTAAGCTTGTTCTAAGTAGGTGCTTTAGACCACTGAGCCATCTCACCAACCCCCAGATGTTGTATTTTGCTACATTGTAATCACAACATGTAGATAGATGCTCAAGTGACATTTGTGCAGAAAAATATTAAAATCCTTTATTTATTTTTTTTCTGGAAAGAGGGATTGAACTCAGGCCCTTGTGCTTGCCAGGGAAGCACTTATTCCACTGAGCCATTTCCCGGCCCCCTAAAATCCTTTATTTTTAAGAGTAAAAAAAACTTATTGGAGAAAGGGAATGGGGAATAGAAGTAAGGGGAAGGGTGTGGGAAAAGCTCCTGAGACAGGAGGCGTCTCAGATGGGTTACCAGCAAGCCCACTGCTCAAAGGCAAAGTCATGAGGCAGGTACAATGTGGGTCTAATTTTTTGATCTAATGCTACCGCGGGTACATGAGTGACATCATTAGCTTTGGTTGATAGTCCATAGTCTTAGTCTTGTGTTTAGCCTTAGCAATTTTTTCTTGGTGGTCTTAGTATTGCAGACAGAGCAGTGACCTCAATTATGATACTGTCACCTGAATAGCAAGCTGTTTGAAATACAACATTTAGAGGGGCTGGGAGATGGCTCGGTGAGAAAAAAAGCGCTTCCCTGGCAAGCGCAAGGGCCAGAGTTCAATCCCTGGTTCTGCCAAAAAAAAAAAAAAAGAAGAAGAAGAAAGAAATATGTTTAGTTAGAGGACTGTTACTCCTTTCCCATCATGATTGTTTTAGTCGTTGAATCCCTGCAGTATGTCAACAAACAACAGTTATATAGTTTGACAGAGAAAATGAGATCAAAAGCCACACATAGCATAACAATCATGATACTTGAACTGTTGTACATCTTAGAAGACCTGTACTTGGAAGGCATAAATACATTTAGTACACCATTAGATTAACAATGAGTGTCATAGCTATATGGAAATCTCTCTGTAAATCTAGTTTTGTATCAAGAGCACCTTTTAGTAAGAAAACTTTGTTTTACCCA